TGTTATATAAAGTCTGTGGAAGGTCTCTGAACACAGACACACTGCAAAGCTGCATTATTGGAGAAGATCTCTTTACACAAGAAGCCGCTAGCTAAACTCTGTTAGCATCAGAGGCCGCCGGCTACTTCCGCCACTTCCGGCGCGCGCCAGGACTTCTGGTTTGAAGACCCCTGCGTATCAGTTGAACCCATGTGGCTGGGGAACACAGATGAATTACCACAGAACGAGCTGGAGGAAGTTTCATGGATAAGGAAGTCTGGGTGTCACTTCACAGTTTGCCTCGACTATAGTTTACAACAATAGTCTAATGTTCCTAAAAGCCAAACCACCAAAAAGTGAAAAGTCTGTACAAGTGTCACTGATTAAAATTCACTAGTAACTTACTCACTTTGCCTGTTGTTATCATTACTGCATCATCCATCCATCTGATTCTTCTGTCATATAGTCACTTTACCTGCTGTTATTATTACTGATGCTTATTCTGCTCATATTCTCCGCTGCTAAAGTACAATATACACATCTGTAAATACTTCTGAACCTACTTTATTCTATTTTATCATCTTTTTAACTTAAGTATATTATCTATTATCTTAAATAATGGAGTTCTTATTTCTCTTATTTCATTCTTTCTCTACTGTAATGTGCGCAAAGATGACACTGAAATTTCTCCACTGTAAGACGAATAAAGGAATGTCTTATTTTATTTTATCTAAAATTTCCAATCGAGGTCAAAAAACACAAATTAATAGTTGAGCAAGCGTCTGTGGATTACGGTTCATGAAATGCAAAACAAATGCACCCCTGAACTGAAGCATCCTTTTATCAAGGCCAGGTCTCAACTTTACAACGAAACAGACTTTTATATTGGTCTGAATCATGCTTATTTATGTTTCATTTACTACCAGCATGCTCTTTGATGCGTCCCTATAGGTTTCCGGTGCAGTATCACACAGCCCAAGCAGCAAATAGTGTAAAAAAAAAAATGAGAATGTGAATGGAAGAAATGTCAATTGTGAAGGAATGGGAGTGAGAGAGCGTGAAGGAAAGTACTGTTTGTAATCTCTAGAGAGTTTGGTTATTTCCAGTGGGTCCTCTTAGTTCTTCTAAAGTCATGAAACGGTCATGCCCAAAACCGGTTATCAGCGACGTAATGTCACCTCTCAAGTACTTAAATATAAATACAGCTTTATTGTGGCTGCATCACATGAGAGTGAGGTGATATAGGGAAATCTAAAGTGTCCACAGGAGAGTTTAACAGTAAGGTCACAAAACTACTCACCCATAATTCATTGCACCTATTTCCCTCTACGTGTGATACATACTGTAGGTAATGGGGGTCATTATTCTCAGGCCCCATGTCATGAATCTGATGTATGACCACACGGCTTGGTTCTATCTGCATTATACATGATCAGCCCTTATTGCTCCTGCCGATTGTGTGAATTCAATATTCTTGACTTTTTCACAATGGGCAGAAAATATAGAGGCAAAACATATCTTCATCAGCACATTCTAATTTGTGTGTACTCCGGGGGGATTTTTATACCTACTGAATTATTTACATGCGACAAAGAGAGCACGCAATATAATCGGGAGTACCTGCTTTTTTCATAAATACATTTTGTTTGTCCCAACAGAAAGAGTCTTGCTCAAGCAACAATGTGTGAACGAATCATACAACATGTTTATTTTATTAGAAAACATTTTGTCTTTTGAATAACAATAAAAACAATAATGCATTGGTTTTATATAGCGCTTTTCGGACATTCATAGACGTTTCACATTCACTCCATACACAGTGGCGATAAACTACTTTTGTTGCTACAGCTGCCCTGGGGCACAATGACAGATGTGAGGCAACCGGTATGACCAACCACCAACCATTTAAACACAGTCAAGAGGACACAACAGCCGTTTGGCACGTTACAGCCGCAGCCGCCCCACTGTGGCATTTGATGTTCCTAAAGGTCTCCCATCACAGTACTAACCAGGCCCTGCCCTGCTTGACTTCAGAGGTTTGACAGGATCTGGATTTCACATGCAAGTATGGCCACACATTATAAGAACTAATTTTCCAAAATGTTGTCAAGCCGCCCACTTCTGTCTCTGAAGGCTGAGGTTGGGGGACTTTGGCGCATTACAACTGCAGCTACCCCACTGTAACTTCTGATGTTCCCAGAGGTCTCTCATCACAGTACTAATCAGGCCCTGCCCTGCTTAGCTTCAGAGGTCTGACGGGTTCTCAATTTCACACGCAAGTACATGGCCACCTATTCTGAGATCTTATTTTCTGCTTGAAACATACATGCATGTGAACTAGAATAGATTTTTCATGGTTCATTTCATGTGGTTTCAAAATTAGGTACCCAAGCTTAAATTGGATCCAGGTTTCCTTTCAAATTAACATTCAGTCCGATAAATATGATCGTTGAATCCGTGTACACTGCATAACATCTCTGCCCATCTATATTGAGACATTATTTGAAAAGGAATCAATAGTAATCGATATTTGCACCAAAATGTTTGCACATCTCCCACCTTGACGCCCTGAGCCCTGCATTGACAGATGAAACTACAGAGTAAAACTGAAGGACTAAACTATAACAGCTTCCATCAAACTGTAGTTTAAGTGCTGTCATAAAAGAGAATGCATCTTGGCCTATAAATCTGCCGTAGACATATATCATGAATGTCAGCCTACGAGTTATCTTAATAAAAAGACCATAGAGTTAGAGCTACAATATATCAGCTGACCTGGCACCTACCTAAATGGTGGACTTTTAAAAGTAGACTTGCAATCTGTGTTTGGCTTCAGCTTTGAAATTACAAGGAATAAATCTTAACAATGTCCGTTTTCCGTGGTTATGTTGGCCCTTAAGGAATTCTTCTTTAGAAACAATAGTAATAGACCTGGATGATGAATGGTGCAGAGATGATGAGAAGGGAATTTTTCTGCGGTAAGTTCATAATGGTCAGAGAATGGTCTAATATGAAGAGAAAACATTTGCGTCACTTAGATATCACCATTTTATCATCATGAATTTGCAACACATTTTCGGATATTTTTTCCCCGCTTTTGCACACTCCATTTATCTTGGCTTGAAAGCACCAGAAAACAAGTTTATTTACAAGACAGCATTTACACAAAATTCAATCTCTTTGCATTTGTGGCTTCCGTCTTGCCGTTTAAAGACTTTCTGACCCTTCATACAATATCACACCATTGCTTTCACGATTTGAACTCACAGCCCTGAGCCCTGATATTCTGAGTCGATGCTTTTGCACGACTTTTTCTCTAACGCATACATCTCTACGCTCTTACATCCAGTGGTCATAACAGTTTCAATCCAAGCTAATCACAGAGCTAACCATATTACATGCACGGTTAGACACGCTAACACCACACACGCTTAATGTCTCATGTAAACGGGGGGCTTCCACATGGATGAATGCGAACATGCCGCCGCCGAGTGACATCTGCTGTTGGCCCACGTCTGCAGGTACGCGAGGGCAAGAACTGACGACAATATCCAAGAGCAAATGTCATTCTTTTCACTGGGGAGCGGGACAGATGGCTTTACACGGACCGATAAGAGAAACAGAAAGACAGACGGAGAAAGAGCGAGATAACTGAGGGACGATAAAGGAAAGGGAATACCGGGTGTGGAAAAAAGGTTATTCTTACTGGCCTTTAAGAGTGTAAAATGTAAGAAGGATAAAGCAAAATAACAGGTGATACATGGGGAATCGTGATACTGACAGAGGCATTCAAATGTATCACAACCAAACTTGTTTTTTTACTCTCTGAAATATCACATATATGATCATTATAGTATGATACATTGTTGTATTATGCACAATTTACACCAGTTTTGCAGTATTGTGATGGACTTTCTCTGACTTATATTTTACAAACGTAACGTCACAGCTATAGCAATTTCCAAATCACAATGATGCACAATAACTTATGACTATGAGTTCTTAATAAGTGTAAATCACGTGTTTCATTTCTTATAGATGCTTGTTTTGACTTTGACCAGTCACGAGAAACCTTAAGTGCGCACCCAAGAAATGGCTTTGGAATTGGTCAGAGCAACTAAACCCTCCAGGCTGAATGATGCATCCTGATGAAATTGAGAGAAGAGAAAAACATAATCCAAAAAAACGACAGTTCCGAAACGTTGGACTTTGGCTTCAGGAGAGATGACAGAAACAGATGCAAAGAGGAAAAAAGAATGATCATATGTGGAAGAAAATAATTTTACATTGAGAGAGGTCTCACTTTGGCAAATCAACTAATTTATTCAGCCTGTTTGAACACTGCATTACCTGCGACGCAAAGCAACTTACAATATTTCATCTTTTTAATGCAAGCATGTTTCAATAATATAATGTTATATATATTCTCATATTCTTGGATTATTGGAGATCCAAATCAGGATCAAGACTGAGCACTTGGAGTGCCTTGAGGCGAAGATCAACATTCGATGAGAGCTTCTCATTACATTTATTTTTACTCGATTGCTCGACAGACCTTTTCATAGAATCACATCCGCTATAACAAAGAAAACAATAATAATAGTAATTTTGTCTGTAATGTGACTTTAAGTCACTGCACTAAGACTGATAAAACCTGCACTACTATTGACACTTTTTTTTACATAATATGTCCTGTCCTGTTTGCACATTTCTTACTTTCTGCACAATCTGAGTGTTTCTATCCATGCCAAACGTGACATGTAAATTTCTCCTGCGTGAGATTAAAGTACATCTTATCTTATGTCATGAACCAAACCAAAACATTGGCCATCGACCTAGAACCAAACACATTCTTTGGTTTGGTTCTAGGTGGCGTCAGAGCTGCATGTTGAGAAGTTTCATGTTGTCAAGGCCGCCCACTCAATGACTCTGAAGGCTGAGGTTGGGGGACTTTGGGGATTTTTCCTGACCTCGTCATGAACACAGTACTCAGGCTGTCAAAGTGCCACCGCTCCACTCACCAGCTCCAGCCCACAGCTCCAGCCCACAGCTCCAGCCCACAGCTCCAGCCAACATCCTGCAACTGGGCTTTATTTGTTTGTTCCCAAAGGCTGTTACCACAAGCAAATTAGAGAAACGACAGTGGGAGCGACAGTGGCTCAGTTGGAAGAGCATTGGCCTTTGAGCCTGAAGGTTGTAGGTTCGACCTTCTCCCCCGACTCCCGCTGATGTCTGCAACCGTTGTGTCCTTGGGCAAGACACTTAACCCCACTTTGCCTGAAGCTCCCGCTGACAGATCAAGCTTGTGTTGTCACTGACAAAGCCATCCTCCTGTGGACTCACCACCTGCAGGAAGATCAATGAGGGGCTGGTGCTATGTGGATTGGTTGGCAGCTGATTGCCATCCCCTCAACCCAGAAATGGACAAAGGGGAAAAAAATTTGTCTAGAAGACAAAAAGTACATTTTTAATGAAGTGAAAGCTATAAATAAACTCTGAACGAATGAATATTATATTAAGTTAATATGATGTACGCACACATTATTCCAGACCACAAAAACTGAATCAATGTGTAAAATTAACATATACAGTGACTCAAGACATTCCTGCAGTTCTTCACAGATTTATTAGATTATAAATCTGGATTGAGCAACATTAGAAAATCTTGAAATGTCTTTCTTTGTCATACATTATGACTGGTATACAATGGCATGAAGCTAAATATGCTAAATATCACTATTTACTGGTTACAATAACTTACACTTATGAGATACACTATCCTTTTGACAGCAGAAAGAGTCCACCCAGTGCACACTGAGAAGCGGATCAAAACTTAACCGGCTTTTTCTGCAGCAGCTCGTCTCTCCAGTGACCCCCAGCACAATGTAATATTTATAAACTTCATTTGCTCCATCTCCATCCAGATTTTGGTTAGAATACCTGTCCTAGAGAGATTTTCACAAGGATTTTGGTAACAGCAGAATAACCCCAAAGATGTCCATATCATCTGTATTCAGTATGTATTCTGTATGTATGAAAGGGGAGTTTCACGGCTGCCCAATACTGCATATTAAATTTACAGTAGAAACCTTTGTTGCCAAGGCAGAGGGAGTGAGGAGCCAATAATAGCAAGGGTGGTATTATACCTTAAAGTGATAGTCTGTAACTCTAAATGAATTACAAATTTTAGGAAATGTGTTAAATTGACCTCCTGGCCTTAAATGTTGATATAAAATAAGTCATTTTATTATTTCTAATATTACGGGCAAGTCCCGCCTTCCCTTCTCTTAGCTATAGTTCAGAATCCACGGTGCCGTTGAGGTTAACCAATCGAGTCATGCCATGGGCTGTCAATCATCGGCGCTGATGCTCGCAGCTGCGCGCATGCGTAGTTGTTTGTTTTTGCGGAGCCTCCGAATCAAGCCTCTATTAGGCTCTGGAACTACATGAAAACTAAACAAAGAATTCTGAACATCCTCGCTGAGGTACTTATGTATATACTGAACCTATATCCATAATCAGATCCTCTGCAGATGTGTCCTATAATGTGCAATTCATGATAATAGCACTTCCTGGTTTGCCGGGATCGCTTTTTTTGTGCATAAAAACATTATTTTTTTCATTAAAACGTTCACAAATAATTCTGAAAACCTCCGTGCATGTGTATTAATAATGTATATGTATAATGTGTTCTCTGATTAACATTTCAAAGTGTTACGGAAATGTAGGTGTAGACCAATCAGAAAGGAAGGGGGAGGGAGCTTTTTCAAATCGAGTACCTCTCTCTCGTTTTCTGACAAACTCCAGACAATCACTTTAAAGCTAACTATATGTAATAATGATAGGTGTTATATGATCATAATTCAACTAGAAGGCAAAACATTGTTTTAAGTAGTGTGATGTAAGTCATTCTTTGTCCAGAAGGGCAGAACAACAGAAAAAGGTCCTCAGATTATAACTTTATAATCTGATTATAACAATTTGACCCAAGAGAACTAGACTTTATCCAGTTAAAGGGAACCAGACCAACAAATGTGAACGCACTGCTAAAATATGCAAATACAATGGTATGAAACCTTTCACGGATGCTTATGCAAACAGTTTTTATAGAATCGACACAATGTGAATGTGGCTTAAGTGAACTAAAAGTTGTACTACATGTCATCTAATTAAGCAGTACTAGCTTCTTTACATTTTTTGTCTTATTAAAAGTTGTACCGTTTTTCTCTCTGAGCACAACTCGAGAACCTAGAATACTTGCACCTGCCTTAGAACTGCCAAGCTTCACCTTTGGCAATAAAACATCACGCCTGTGGAGAGAAATTAAAATTCCCCACAGCGATTCCATTCCACTGAAGAGTTCTGCACCAAACAACTGCCACAACAAAGTCGCAGCTGTGCGCCCGGCCGGCAAAATGCATCTCTAATACCAGCACAAAAATGTTTCAGAGATCATCTGAAGCAGCGAGTTGTTCGTTGGGGTCACTCGGAAGGCGATTTAATCAAGGGTCAAATGGCGGGAGCCTAATTGGATACATGTCGCCGGATGCACCTGGAGAAGCGTGACAGCCGCTCCCTGGTGGGTTGCACAAAGAAGTATAGGACACAAATTAACAGATGTTGCACAGAATAGTAAAAGCGCCTCTAATTGGCGTTGCAGATGGCGAGTGTGGACATTTCCCGGTGTCTTTACTCGGAAAAGAGAGAGAAGAATGGCACAAAGTAACATGACATGACAGACCAGACGTGGAACAACTGATCCAAGCCAAAAACAAGTCATAAATATTCAATTACGCAGTTGTCATAGGTCTGTTGTAAATTATGGAATGTATCAATAGGTAATAACAGTTGTAACCCACTTTCTAAATAAATTTTTCACCAACACGGCCAGTCTTAGGTCATTCCGTTAAAAGATACAGATATCAAAGCAGCAAATGTAGGATATTGCACTGGATACAGAAGTCTATGTATCTCTCTATTCTTAGGTGCATGTAAACACTGTTTTGTCACCAAAGCACTTGTTTACAACATTTTGCCCTTCCTCGCTGGCTTGTTACGGATGCGAAAGTCTCGTCTGAAACTGTAAACATTCAGACAGCATTGCTCAGACTCGTGTGTGTAACTATCAGTGCGCTAACAGTGGGGCTTCTACTGTAAAATCACTAAAAGTCTCATTATGCACCTTTGCACACATGGCTTCAACTGCCTGGTGCCATGAAATAGAGGACGCAGTGTGGAGAATAACAATATCCAAGGCCTCAGGGTGGAAGTCGGTCAATTTACATTTGCACAGAATGCCTGAAGGAATTAAAAATGGTCATTATTCTTGTTTTAGCAAAGGGGAAGATTTTTCAACGCAATAATGCCCAGAAATAATCTCGGCAAATGTTCTAAATGCGGTAGTTTACAGACAAAGGGAAACACATTTAAAAAATCAAGAGACAAAAACTCCCGCAGTTATTCCAGCTAAAGTAGAGAAATGTATGTGATTAAAAAACATTTCTCAATTGTCACATATTCAAGTCTTTAAAAATAGTTCATTCAGTCTTGTTATTGCCCCCTCACGCCTCCTCCAACCTCCTCACTCCTCCCTCAGCTCTGCACATTTGGATTCATTTCATGTCTTGGAAGCTTCACCCAACAATTTGTGTTAACAGACTGTGCCAGTGTGAGCACAGATCGAGCGAATAATGAGGTGTTTTGGAAGACAACACACATACAATATTTACCCGCAGTTTTTACATGATTAATCTATGTAACTATTTGTTGTAATCTAGATCTAGACCAAAACTACAGCAGTGTGGCTTCATTTCAACAGAATATTTGTGGTTGGTTTGAGTTGACTTACTTTCCGATTGGGATTCCTAATGCCTTCAGGCCACAAACAACTCAACAAGTCAAATACTAATATTCAAGAATTAATTATGTCACAGTTATCGGAAAAATACGTCAATTCCTGTCGGACTAGTTTGACTTTTAGTGTGGCTAAAAATCTTCTCTAATCAATAAAAACAGCATGACAGGGATCCTTATTAACAAACAATTATCTTTGTAAAAGCTGCCTTTGTTTTTAACTACAGTAGCCACCACTTTTAACAAGTTTGACAAGGGACAAAGGGGCTACAATTACATAACAGCAAATTAAAGAAGTGATTGTGTGCTCTCAGAGTCCCATCCAACTTCTGTCTGCACAAGAAAAATAGGATCTGGCATCACTTGTGTTATCTTTGAGCGAGCATGTTTTGTGCCTGTTCTAATCCTGCCTGAGCCAAACTCTGGCATTGTAACATAGAGTTGGTTTGGCCAGCTCAATAAATCCTTCTGTGTCTGTATAGCTTCATCTATTATTTATTCAGTAATTAAAGGTCTGCTTCACTACCGCCCATGTTGATCTATAGAGGGACACAGATGAACAGTCACAATGTCAAACCAAACAAGTTTCTCCATGGATTCTAACTGCAGCAGGCTTCTAACATTGACACAGCGCAGATCCACATCTTTAGTGTTTTAATGAAAAAATTTACTTTTAATTCACCTTTACCAATTTTTTACTTGCTGTGAGAGCAAACAGTTTATACAAAACATATGTAGGATGACTAAAGTATTGTATTGGTTTATGCTTTGAAGGACTTTTACATTCAGGTAATTCATTGCTTGTATAATTTAGGATAATATATGTCATTGTCTATGCTAATTATTTCATCCACAATAATTTAAATTACAGTTTCTCCATGATTTAATCCTTTATAGAGTGTTTTCCCGTCCTCGACTGCACAGAGGGAGAAGGCGCCCTGCTGACCTGTGGACTTCAGTGTCTGAATAAAGACAGAGGTTTAAACTGGGAAGACAGCAAAACATTTAACTCTGGCCCACATCCTCCCAGAAGACTATGAGGGTTAGACTTAACAAAATGCAAAGCCAACAAAATACACAGATGCCATTCGCACAGATCGCATCTCATCCAAGACCCACCGCAGAGATTGGACTCGCTTTCAGACTTTGACTCTTCAAATCAATGTACTGTGAAGGATTTTTATATGGTCAGTGAGATCAATAATACAACAGCTGATTAAGTT